ACGTTCCCTCTGCCTTATATACCCGCGATGTTCCCTCTGCCTTACAGACCGGTGGCGTTCTCTCTGCCTTAGACGTTCCCTCTGCTTTACACATCCGCGTTGTTTGATCTACTGATCATGTGTTGAGTTTATGCAGGGCTCTAGTAACCCCTAGTCTGAGTTAAGAAATAATGACGTTTTTCTTATCTTTCAGACACAAAGATCCGGTCGTCAGCCAAGGTAATAAACTTTCCTCTCCACCAACCCTCCACATCCACCACCATCATCATCATCTTTATCTGTATGTACCAGAAGGAACCCAGATTCTGGTTCTGAGCGGGTCCAGATGTGTTCTGGGTTCCTACATGCCATGTTGTTTTTGTTGCTGTTGTTAAGTGACCGTGTCTCTGTCTCAAACCAGCCAAAATGTCGACCAGAGAGAAAAACAGCCTAGCCGGTAAGTTCTCCTGGAATCTGCCACCTGGCTAACACTTCCTGTTTTTGGACCAATCACAGCCCTCTCTCTGTGCTTTCATTGGCTGCCCTGCTTTTCCCTTTCCTGTCTGCTCAGATGATGTTGCATCCCACCTTTCTTACATTTATTTGAGTGGTGAGCAAATCAGAGACTTTGAAGGTCGGAACTGTATCAATTGTCAGAGTTTAACAGCCAATCAAAAATCAGATCTGCATCAGCAGAATCACGTTGGACCAATCACAGGTCGTCTCAGCTGCACACTTTTTCCTGCTAACTTGGGCAAACGAGACTTCCGTTTCCTCAGTCCGAGGGACTGTAGGGTAGACCCCCCCCCCGTTTCTAACACACTACATTGCCAGAAGTATTTGCTCCCAAATAACTGACACAGGGTGTTCCAGTCCCTTCCATGACCAAAGGGGTAGAAATCATTCTGTGAACTGCAGCCCCTTTCTGTGTCCAGTGGCTCCTAGACAGATGTTCCTCACAGCTGCCAGTGATGTCATAGCAAAGTGACTCGGAGCTACAGGAAGGCTGCCGTAGCCTGCAGCTGCTGAGGTCACCAACTCTCTGCAGGGTCCATCGCTGCAGACCTCCTAACTTCATGTGGTCTTCAGATCCGCTCCAGGACAGTAGGTAGAACTCCGTGATCCACCAGCGGAGGAAAACAGGACAAATCTTCTCCATCTAGTCATCAGATGGACTGTAGCTGGACCAGTTTGGAGATGGGTCCTTCTTCTTCCAACATGACTGAGCAGAAAGCCAGGTCCACAGAGACATGGAGGACATGGACTGGTCCACGCAGGGTTCTGGCCTCTATTCGGTAGAACACTTTTGGGAGGAATGGGAGCCGAGGCTGAGAGACAAACCCTCTCTCCCAGCATTAGTGTCTGACCTCAGCAATGAGCTTCTAGAAGATTCTCCTGCACCCAGAGGACAGCCTTTCCTGAAGAGCTGTGAGGAGGGACCAACGTCGGACCCAAAGAGGAATGCTGAAAGTTCAGAAAGGCAGAGGAGCAAACGCTTCTGCGGTATAGACCCCGCCCCCCTCCTGTCCCTCACCAGACATTCCCTCCTGTCCCTCACCAGACATTCCCCAGCCTGCTCTCCCCTTGCTGCAGCTTTCCTGCTCCTGTCCTGGTCTCTGGTTCTAGGATAACCTTAGAAAGCTCCTCCCTGATGTTATGTCTTTAATGTTCTTTCCATCTGGTTGCTTTGTTCTTAGGGAACAATGATTAGAATCAGCCTCATTGGTTCCATTTGTTTTTTTTTTTTAGAGGGAAACGCCATCAAGATGTTCATGCGTGGTAGACCAATCACCATGTTCATCCCTTCAGACGTGGAGAACTACGACGACGTTCGGACCGAACTTCCTCCAGAACGGCTCAAGCTGGAATGGGTGTATCCTTTCAAAGAATGACCCTGTGGGAAGCTGGAGATTATGACTAGACTATCCTTAGCAAGTCCGTTCTGCAGGTCCTCAGAAGGTCAATAAATAACCTTCTTCTGTCAACATCCTATTTAGGGTTGTTGACAGACCTCCAAACATTGTCCTGGTGCTTCCTTCAGGTTCCCATGTCTGGTGAACCTGACACTATATAGGAGGACCACAGGTGAATCCCAATAGGACCTGTTTAGAATCCCAGAGGACCTGAGAAGGAAATCCTTAGAACAGTAGTTCTCACTGGAACACGGTAGAACCTAAGGGGACCTTAGTAGAAGCTGATGGACATCTAGTAGAACCTCAGTGGTTTCCTTGACTCTCTGCAGGTACGGTTACCGTGGCAGGGACTGCCGGGCCAATGTCTACTTGCTTCCAACTGGAGAGATTGTTTACTTCATTGCGTCTGTGGCGGTTCTCTTCAACTACGAGGAGCGCACTCAGAGACATTACCTGGGACACACGGACTGCATCAAATGGTGAGAACCTCTCCGCATCACTTCCTCTTCCGCCACTGGCTGTTTTCTGGTCGTGACTTGGTGTGTTTCTGTGCGGCAGTCTGGCCATCCATCCAGATAAGATCAGAATCGCGACCGGACAGATCGCTGGAGTGGACAAAGACGGACGTGTAAGCAGAACCTCCAGTTGGACTTTATGTAAAGGTTAAGTTGGAGGAACCGAAGTTCCTCAGTGAATAGAACGTAGATTCTGATGGTCTAGATGAAAGAACTCTGTAAGTCTAGAGAAGTTCTGGCATTCTAGGATTAGGTAATTACACCACAGACACGGCAGAACCATGCAGCTGGGTCGGCCAGAAGAGCTGTAGACATTGGGACGTCCAATAACCCGGCTGCTTCTGTGTTCCAGGCGCTGCAGCCTCACGTCCGGGTCTGGGACAGCGTCAGCCTGTCCACCTTGCAGGTCATTGGTCTGGGAACCTTTGAAAGGGGTGTCGGGTCTCTGGCCTTCTCCAAAGCTGTAAGTATCTTCTCATCAGCCACAGACTTCCTGCTGTTTGGAGGCTTCTGAGCAAACTTGTGGTCTACAGGACTCTGGTCAGCACTTGGGTGTTATCGACGACTGCAACGACCACATGTTGACCGTCTGGGAATGGCAGAAGAAGTCAAAGATAGCAGAAATCAAGGTGAGATGCTTCTACTTGTTCTCAGATAAACGGACCTAAAGACCTGGTTCTAAAAGTTTTCTCCGCCTCTCTCTCTCAGACTACCACTGATGTGGTTCTGGCCGTGGAGTTCCACCCCACCGACCCGGCCACCATCGTCACTTGTGGAAAGTTCCACATCTTCTTCTGGAGCTGGAACGGGACCTCGCTGCTCCGGAAGCAGGGGCTGTTTGGGGTAAGGTCAGCGGTACTGTTAGTGGGGTTCTGTTCATCTTCAGGACCTCAGGTCCAAAAGGTTCCTCTGGGTTCCTCCGTTAGCAGGACACTAAACCCACACTAAAGATCCGTTGGTTCCTCCCATCCCATCCATTGGTCTGGAATGAGGTTGAGGTCAGGACATTATTGGACCAGCGGCATCTGAATGACGTCAACAGAGAAGCTTGGTTTAGGAGCCCCTGAAACCGGGTTCTGCACTGATGCTAGGTTCTAGACAGCTGGGAGAACTGAACCGCCTTACACAACGCCAGCAGAACCTCAGAAGGAAGCAGGTTTCTGAACCTGGAAAATGTCTTCCAGTCCACATCTGGTTCCGGTCCAACACTGGTTCCTAGCCAGTCAGAATCAGCACCAGAACAGCAGAACCTGTCTGTCTCTGGTTCTGTGGGTTCTTTAGCTATGACCCGGTTGTTGTTGGTGACCCGTATCTTTAACTCTTGGAGTCTCTGATTGGCTCCTGCTAGCTCTAATACTTTGGACCCTGAAGGTTTTGTTTAGGTCCAGTTTTCCAGTTTTGCTGATCAGAACCACTGTTTTTTTTCCAACAGTTTAGAAGTTCTGAAAGAACTGAAATGGATCAGAACTTTCATTACTGGTGGTGAAAAAGCAAACTGGTCCTTTGTCAGAACCCGGTTCTTCTATCAGGTTGGCAGAGCCAATGATCAGAACTTTCTCTAGCAGGAACCCTGGCAGCACCAAGTTCTGTTTGTTCTGGGGAACCTCCAGAACCTTTACTTTAGGTTGTGGTTCCTAAGGTCAGAACAGAAGAAAGTTCTGCTGCCCCTCAGTGGGAAAAGTCCAGTAGAACCACTAAAGTCCAGTACTGGTCCCAGTCTAACCATGTCCTCTCTCTGATCAGAACCACGACAGGCCCAAGTTCATCCAATGTCTGACGTTCCGGACCAACGGAGATATCCTGACCGGAGACTCTGCTGGACAGCTGCTGGTTTGGACCAGAACCCTTGCCGAGGCACCTCCTGGGAAGGGACCGCAAGGTGGGGAAGCGGCGCCGGGTCGGATGTCTGTAATCGGGTCGGTGATGTTCTGTCGTGCAACCGTTGGCGGCATTCCTCAGTGGGACGGATCCGGACAGGTTCCTGCCGCGCCTCTAATGGTTTCAGGTTCCTGCCAAACTGGGTCGGCTGGGTTCTGAGGAAAAACCGCCGCCTGCGGGTCGGTTCCTGCCTGGCTCAGCACGCTGTTTCCTGGACCAGCGCCAGACATGAACTGCCTTCAGCCGGCGGTTGGAATGCCTAGAGCAGGAAACGAGTCAGAACATAGCGGGTCAGAGCGGTTCTGCTTTGGATCTAAAGCAGATGAACCCATCGAAACTCAGCAGCCGGTACCGGTGGACCCCTGCTGCAGGGAAGGAATTCTGGTTCTGATATGATACAGGCTTCCTTAACCCAGGAATAGAACCACATCTGTAGATCCATCCCACCTAGAGTGCACCATGAAGATCCGGTTTACTCAGAACCCAATCGGAACCCTCCTAGAACCCAATCGGAACCCTCTCAGAAGCCACTCAGAATCCTAACAGAACCCACCCAGAACCCTCTTAGAACCCACTCAGAACCCTCTCAGCTGTAGTTGCGGTTCCTCTCGTCCAGTTTGACCGTCTCCACCCTGTCTGGGTTCCCTGCTTCTGGACCTCAGTCATCCTGAGGTCCGGATCGAGACCCGGTTCCGCCCGTCTGTCTGCTTTAGAATGAATTCAGCCTCCTGAGGCGCAGGGCGGGTTCTGTAGGGTTCTGGTTCTAAATCATTCTTCCTAAACGGTGCTGGAGCCGAGCTCAGAACCGGGCCAGAGGCTTGTGCTGTGATGTGTTTCTGTGCTGTTGGTTCTGGTCCAGTTTAGTGGTGTTCTGTTTGCAGCGTTCCACATGAGGACAGACCTCGGGCCCCTGGAGGCCCATGAGAAAGGCGTGTTCTGCATGTGTGAGCTGAGGAGCGGCTGTCTGCTGACCGGAGGAGCCAAGGACCGCAGAGTCGTCTTGTGGGACCACCAGCTGCACCTGGACCGCGACTTGGAGGTCTGAGACACACACACGCCCGCCCGCCGCAGCCTGGCGCAGTATCCTGGAGCGCTGAAGTCACATGACATCCTTTGTCTGCAGGTCCCGGATCAGTACGGACACATCAGAGCGCTGGCAGAGGGGAAGGGGGATGAGTTCCTGGTCGGGACGTCCCGTAACTTCATCCTGAGAGGAACCTTCAACGATGGCTTCCAGGTGGAGGTCCAGGTGAGGTCACGGCGTCCTCAGAGGAGCGACTTCCTGTTTCACAGCCAGAAAATGCCTTCAGGGTCCCTGTGCCTGTGCCTTTCAGGGTCATACCGATGAGCTGTGGGGTCTGGCCACCCATCCATCCAGGGAACTGTTCCTGACCTGCGCTCAGGACCAGCTGGTCTGCCTCTGGAACTCGGTGGATCACAGCCTACAGTGGAGCCGCAGCCTAGAGGTGAGAAAAGGGAGGAGAAGCAGGAGGAGGAGGAAGATGCACGGTGGGACAGGAGGAATTTCACCAAGGATCATGGGATCAGGACGGTTAAGGAATAACAGAGGATTGAAAGGTTCATGGTACAGTGGACTAGGACGGGTCTACAGGACTGGGGCAGGTCCAAAGGATTTGGAGCGGGTCTAGAGGACCAGGGCAGGCCCTCTGGGGGAGGGACAGGACTGGGGCGGGGCCCATAGATTGTGGGCGGGTGGTTTAATTGTTGTTGGACTCACAGCTGTGTCTGTCCTGCAGGAACATGGACACTGTGCGGAGTTCCACCCCAGTGGATCAGTGGTGGTCATTGGAACACACTCTGGGAAGTCAGTATTAATATCCTGGTGTCTAACTGATCCATCAGGTTCTGCTGAGGTTCTAACTGATCCTTCCCCCCAGGTGGTTTGTTCTGGATGCTGAGACCTCCGATCTAGTTGGGATCCACACAGACGGGAACGAGCAGCTGTCAGTCCTGCGTTTCTCAGTTGGTGGGTTGAGTCTGCTGTGATGTCACTGATGTGAAGGACTACAGTTCCCATCATGCCGCTCTGTGTTGTCTGCAGATGGCAGCATGCTGGCTGTGGGATCTCATGATAACTTTATTTACCTCTACAACGTCTCGGATCGAGGACGGAAGTACAGCCGCTATGGGAAGTGCACGGTGAGACTGTTGCCATGGTGACCCTCTAGTATTCAGTGGCATTAAAACCCGTGACATCTGGTAAACTCAGACGAACCAGCCCTCTGTTAGAAACACGGGGCTGGTTCTGGTCCGATCAGGAACTAGAATCAGTGGTTCTAGTCTGATCAGGAACCAGTCTGAGCTGATGGTTCCTCTGATGTTTCCACAGGGACATTCCAGCTACATTACACATCTGGACTGGTCTCCTGACAACAAGTTCATCATGTCCAACTCTGGAGACTACGAGATCCTGTACTGTGAGTACTAAAGTAGTACTGCGGTACTCAGGGCTGGTAGCGCTGCGGTACTCTGACCTGGTTTTGCTGTGGTACTCTCACATGGTACTCTGACCTGGTAGTACTGCAGTACTCTGACCTGGTAGTACTGCAGTACTCTGACCTGGTAGTACTGCGGTAGTTTGACCTGGTAGTACTGCGGTACTGAGAGGTTGTAGTACTCTCCTTCAATGCTACCCAGAACTCTCCTTTCAGGGGACATCCCAAGCGGCTGCCAGCTGATCCGGAACCGCTCCGAGTGTAAGGACATCGACTGGGCCACCTACACGTGTGTCCTGGGTTACCACGTCTTTGGTCAGTACCTCCGGCTGGGATTAGCGATGCGTTCTGGTTCGTTCTGCTGGTTCTGATGGACTGTGGTGTCTCTCAGGTGTTTGGCCCGAAGGTTCTGACGGCACCGACATCAACGCCCTGATGAGGTCCCACAACAGGAAGGTGATCGCTCTGGCGGATGACTTCTGTAAGGTCCACCTGTTCGCCTACCCCTGCTCCAGATTCAAGGTCAGTCCTAGAACCGCCACCCGGACCAGGTAGAGTCAGAATGTGCTCCCGTTAATGGCCCCCATCTCTGCAGGCTCCCAGCCATAAGTACAGCGCCCACAGCAGCCATGTGACCAACGTCAGCTTCCTGTACAGCGATAGCCACCTGATCTCCACGGGGGGGAAGGACACCAGCATCATGCAGTGGCGTCTGGTCAGGAAGTCCTCCCTGTCCCTCTCAGACGGCATCATCTCTAAGTCCGCCCCCCGCAGGGTTGACCCAGTGTTGGCCACGCCTCCTACGGTGGCCACCTCTCCTACAGTGGCCACACCTCCTCTGCCAGAAGCCGCTCCGGTCCAGGAACCGTCTAATCATGTCTCCCCGCTGGCTGAAGTAGCTCCGCCCACCTCAGAGTCCACCCCGCCCCCCTCAGACAGCACGATGAGCCTGAAGGACAGCCTGGAGACGAGCGACGACACGGCCACGCCCAGCGACGAGGGCCTGCCCCCCCTCACCCCATCCTCCTAGAGAGGCTGCTTCTCCTCCTCCAGGTGCTGCTTCCTCTGGACTCTGGGTGGAGGAGACGACCTCAGAACGCCCGCTAAGACTCAGAACCACCACAGGAAGTGTGGATCTCTGGTCCATCTGAACCCACAGCTTCCAGGTCAGTAACTATCCACGTGGCGTCAGCGGCGAGCCGCCAGGAGCTGCTCTCCTCCGATCACAGCCGCTCCGTGTTCCAGCGCTGTCTGCAGGGGGCGGGGCCTCCCACACCTGCCCCTCTCAGTGTTGAAAGCTGGAGGCGGCATAGGAACTGTCCTGCTCCTGTCTGCCACAGGGGGCAGCAGCGAGCTTTCTTCACTTTTTGTAGAACAAACTGGGGCCGTTTTCCTGCGACCTGAGGGCTTCATCCTGGGTTTCTGGAGACGTTGGAGGTTTCAGTTTGAGGGGAAACCTTGACATTTAGTTTGAAATCGGCTAAAAGCAAATGCTTTATGCTCAAACTCTTCAGTCAGAGTAAGACAGGTGTTCAAAATCTGTGAACTAAAAAGTGAATATCTGTTCACGATCAAACCGTCACTGAAGGAAGCAAACTGCTGCAGGCTTTTATTCTGAAATCAGAACACATTCAGGTTTCACTCGAACTTAAATTATTCATGAATAAAACAAAAATCTAAATGTTTCAAGTCCATTTAAACCGATTTAGATTCCGGTTGTTAATTTTCAGGAGCTCCACACTGTTGCTAACAGGAAACCAACAGGATGCAAACAGGAAGTGTTTCTTGGGCAAAGTTGACCTTCAGGTTGAAAAACTGTGACATGTCGATACAGAGAACCAATCAGAATGAAGCCTCCCTCTTGCACCAATTGATGATAGTAAGCCCTCCTGTTAGCAAAGGATCTGTGTTTGTATATCCTGCAGACTTTTGTGTATATTTCTGCTCACCACTAGAGGGCAGCACCTCCACAGTCACTTTAATGAACATCTCTCATCCAACTGGGTGACAGGAGAGGGAGGCTCTTTGTTCTGATTGGTTGCTCTCAGTGACTCTGCTAGTGATGTTTTTGTTTGTTCTGGACCATTTTCGCTTCAGGCTGTTGAATGTGCTGATGATGTCATTCTGGGTGGGGGCGGGACTTTGATCTTGCTTTTTTTTCTTACTGATTTTTGTATTTTGTATGTCTCTGAAGGGCTTCTGTGGAAGATGTTCAGGTTGGGGCGGGGCCATGTGAGGGGGCGGGGCTTTTTGTTTTAAACGACATTGATCCTCATTAATGATTATTTTTATGTGAATGTTTTGAGCCAATCATCTTCTCTCATGCATTCCTGTCAGAGGACAGATTGTACTGAAGATTTTAACAGCAAAATGCAAATAAACGTTACCATGGTGACAGCCCAGCCAATCAGCTTCATCTTTGCTCGAAATGATCGACATTTTTCAATTCAATTTCAATTCAGTTTATTTATATAGCGCCAAATTCACATCATGTCATCTCAAGGCACTTTACAGTTCAACCAGATCATACAGTCA